CATTACTTTATGCCTGTGCGGGCATAAAGTACACATTATGGCCCGCGCGGGCATAAAGACGCAAAAAAAAGTTTTCAATTAACTTATTCTTTATTAACAAAATATAAATTTACGCTTATAAACATATTATTTTTGTCAAAAAATGTTGATTTTGAACACTGATTACAATTTGCAAAGTGACACTTTTTTCCCAGGTATTTATTATTCACAACCAACTGGTATGACATAAAAATTTGTATGCACCACGGGTACTAATAGATATATATACCCTCGGGCGACTTACGAACCCTCGGGCCAGAGGCCCTCGGCTTTGTAAGACTCTCGCCCTCAGGGTATAATCATCTACTTAGTACCCTTGATACATAAATAACTATTATGTCATACCAGTTGGTTGTGAATAATAAATACCTGGGAAAAAAGTGTCACTTCGCAAATTGTCATCAGTGTGCAAACATCATAATTTTTTGACGCACGGGCATAAAGTAATGAATTATGTAGATGGTATCTAAGGTATAAAAACACACTAATGTATTGGTATGACATAATAGTTATTTATGTATCAAGGGTACTAAGTAGATGATTATGCCCTGAGGGCGACAGTCTTACAAAGCCGAGGGCCTCTGGCCCGAGGGTTCGTAAGTCGCCCGAGGGTATATATCTATTAGTACCCGTGGTGCATACAAACTTTTATGTCATACCAGTTAATTGTGAATAATAAATACCTGGGAAAAAAGTGTCACTTCGCAAATTGTCATCAGTGTGCAAACATCATAATTTTTTGACAAAAATAATATGTTTATCAGCGTAAATTTATATTTTGTTAATAAAGAATAAGTTAATTGAAAACTGTTTTTTGCATCTTTATGCCCGCGCGGGCCATAATGTGTACTTTATGCCCGCACGGGCATAAAGTAATGAATTATGTAGATGGTATCTAAGGTATAAAAACACAATAATGTATTGGTATGACATAAAAAAATTTATGTAGAAAAGGCTTGCACTGCCAACATAGTTACTAAATTTTTGACTTGGGAAATTATCTTTATTTTTTTCTTTAGGTTGCCAGCATGCGTTAGCGCTTCGATTCCGTCAGCTGGGATAAACGACAGGGTCGTATTTAGAAAAGTGATATACATTTCAGAATAAAAATTTATTTTCAATTTCTTTAAAGGAAGTTGAGTTATTAAAATCCAAAAATCCAAAAATTAGAGTCCAAAGTAAATACTTATGAAAAGAGTAAACACCTAAATCCAAACTAAAACCAGGTTTGAAACGCAACACCGAAACACAAAGGCACAGAGCACTACATAAAAAACCAAAAAACCAATTGCGAATATAACAAATCAAAAAATAATGCAGAAAACGGCAAAAATCTGAAACGATTTCACACAAAAATTCGAAATTCAAAGACCCGAATCTGATATTTTTATATGTCAAATCGAAATGTCATGTATCATTATTTGATAGTTGACAGAAAAAGGAACAGATCTGGGGATTTTAAAGTATGTTTTTTTTTTAAGATAAAAGTCAAAATGACATTATGTTAGCAATACCAATGAGCCAATGAACTATAGTCAAAAACTGGAATGCGCACACGCCATATCTGCCAAAAAAATGTAGCCATGAAAGACAGATGCCACAAAGGGGAATGTTGTTTTTTTCTGTTGCTCGCTGACATATGACGTTTTGGAAAGTTTTGTCATATTTACCTTCACAGGTTTCATCAATTGGAATACGTGTTGGAAGCAATTTCCGCCATTTAACATAATGAGTGCGACAAAAACAGGTATTCCCTCCGCAGCAGCGGCACTAGGCTTCACGTTCGTCAATATGTGTTCGCATTCCAGTTTTTGGTTTATTTATTTATTTATTTATTTATTAACGTATCAACATTTACAGGTTTACAAGTGAACTTAAACTAACTAACCTAAAACAGCTCTTTTTGCACAACTCTTAAATTTTTTATGGGAAACATCAAAGAATTCTAATGACTCACAAAACTTATTCACATTCGCTGATACTCTGTTAACAGGACTATACAATAAGTACCAAGAATTACAAATTGGTATATGCATCAAGGTCTGCCTACGTGTTGGATATCCAGGTATACGAAATCGAAAAGTTTCCAAACATTCTGGACTCTTGATATAGTAGTTTAGAACATTCAAGTCTAGGTATAACATAGTCTGATCATTATCAAGTTCAATACAATTGCAAAAAAGTTTATATTTAGCATATTTTATAAATTTAAGTTGAACATTTTCAAGTCTATTTATATGAACCTGATAATATGGCGACCAAATTATGTTTGAAAATTCAAGGATGGATCGAACCAGCGACGTATACAACACCTTCAGAGCAAACACACTCCTAAAGTCTTTACTGGTTCTTTTGATAAAACCTAATATTCTATTAGCCCTACCTACTATATACTCAAAGTGCTCGATGAACGTAAGTTTAGTGTCCAAGTAAACGCCAAGGTCCTTAACAACAAATACCTCAGCAAGAGCAACGTGATTAATGGAATATTCCACAGGTATAGTATTCATCAAGCGGGTGAAGCGCATAAAGCAGCATTTGTCGATATTAAGTGACATGTCGTTGAGGTTACACCAATCGTATACAATGTCCAGATCATTTTGCAGAAGAAGAATATCACGAGTTGATGATACTTCCCGAAATATCTTTGGATCATCCGCAAACATCAGAAAATTGGAGGAAAGTAGATGGCCCAGGTCATTGATGAATAAACTGAACAAGAAAGGTCCCAAATGAGATCCCTGAGGAACCCCAGATGTGACATCGAACTTATCCGAGAGATAACCATCAATTCTCACCTGCTGAATCCTACCTGACAAATACGACTCCAACCAAGAAATCAAAGTACCCGCAATGCCATAACCGGACAACTTTGAGAGTAGAAGAGCATGATTGACCTTATCAAAGGCCTTACTAAAGTCAGTATATATAGTATGTATCTCACAACCGTTCTCGAATGATCTATTGATAAAGTTAGTGAATAGAAACAAGTTGGTATCAACGGAGCGGCCGGAGGTGAATCCATGTTGCTGATTTACTATGACTTGATGGAAGGCAACCGACAAAACTTTTTCTATACAGTGCTCAAATAGCTTGGGTATTGCTGAGAGGATACTAATTGGTCTGTAATTAGACACATTGTTCCTGCTTCCTGATTTGTGGAGGGGACAAACATATGACAATTTCCAGACTTTTGGGAACACTCCAGAGATAAGAGACTTGGAAAATATGTAATAGAGGGGAAGATACAGAGAATGGGAGCAAAGTTTTAACACTGTTTGGGATTCCATCAGGTCCCTCTCTTTTATTTATGTCGAGTTCAGAGAGCGATTTTTCAATGTCATATGCAGTGATCTGAATGTCAGAAATTGATTGAAAGGTGTGTGTTGAAGAAACGGAAGAAACACTTGCATCAGAAATGGTTTTAGGATTATAAACTGATGAGAAGAAATCAGCAAAGAGATTGGCTATGTTATAACCATTATCAGCCTTATTTGAGCCAGAAAACATTTCCCTAGGGATGGAGCCTTGATTTGACTGCGAACGAACAAAGTTCCAAAAGTACCTGGCATTCTCCTTGATTGAATCTTCAGTGTTTGTTATGTAAAGACTGTAGCATTTCTTGGACAGGGATAAGCATTGTCTGCGAAGCAGAGAAAATAAGTTATAATCCATAACTGAATTTGATTGTTTGAACCTTTTGTGAGCTACTTTTTTTTGAAAAATTAGGGATTTCAATTCACTTGAAAACCAGATAGGAAATCTGTCGTTATAGTTCATTGGGCAATACAATGTAAAATTGTCAATGCTTTCAAATTTTCTATGTAGAAAAGGCTTGTGTTGCCAACATAGTTACTAAATTTTTGACTTGGGGAATTATCTTTAAAAAAAAAACAGACTTTATTTACTTTCAACTGGTGAAAATAACGGTCAAAATTCAAACTCTTTCATGAATTCATCTATACCTTTATTGCTGAGTGGTGAGGCCCCTGATGGAGTACTGCTCCTCTGTCTGGTCACCGATGTACTCTAATCATATCAGAGTCCTAGAGCTAGTGCAGCGCAAATTTCTCGGCAAATTCGTACGTTTTTTAGCCTTCAAGGCAGGTATTCCTTCGCCTGAGAACTACGTATATGACTACGATGACCTATACAGATGCTTCAATCTGCAACCTTTAGCAGCTAGAGGAAATCAAACATATTTGTATACTTTTTACAAGGTACTGAACTCCATTAGTGATTCCGCACACCTACTGTCCAGAATAGGGCTTCACATCCCATTAAGGGACACCCGCTCTTCCATAACCTTCTTAGAAAGAAATAACCGTACAAACTATGGTTTCAATACATTCATCTCCAGAACTTCTCAATTATTTAACACCCATGGTAGCCTGGATTTGTTTGGACCCATAAATAGCTTTAAAAGAGAGCTTAACTCTCTGATGCGATTGTAATTGTCCTTATTTGTTTGTGATAACAAGTTAAATAGCTAAGAATGTCAAGTCATCTTGATCAGTCAATATTTATGTCTGTCCTAAGTCCTAATTTTTTTTTATACCTATAACTTTTAAATTAATGTTATACTGTTAATAAATGTATATGTACTGTTATCCTATCACTACGCCAAATATTACTAGCCTATGTTTACTTAGTTGTAAGGTACTTATGTTTTCTTGTTGTTTCTTTTTTAAAAACTTTTAATGGGTCTTGCCCGTAAATAAATAAATAAATAGATTAATTTATAAAATTAATATATTTTACTTATAATAACTTAAATAACTGTTACACTGTTATAGTATATTTTTGGTACTATTACCATAATTATAGGTGAATAAAAAAAGTCTTGATTTATTCATCACTGTCCTGCATTTTTTCAACACGTCCTGCGAATTCAATTTTCAAACTTGGCAACCCTATGATTGAACCTAAGGGCAATACTAATCATATTTTTAATTATATAGACTACGAGCTGCCAACGTGCTCCTTATCGGAGTTAGGGGTCTAGGATCAGAAATTGCCAAAAATATCATTTTATCTGGCATCAACTCCTTAGTTATTTTGGATGATGGCATTGTTTCCGAAGAGGAACAACAAAAGAACTTTTTTTTGACTCGTAATGGTATAGGGAAAAAGGTAAGGGAAATATTCTAGATTTATACATATTGTGATAAATTAAATCTATAGATTGCTGAAGAATTTATCATAAAAGCCCAACTACTCAATCCTTTGGTCAAACTTACTGCCGACACATCAGACCCGACAACAAAAGATTCGAAATTCTTCGAAGGCTTCACTATGGTCGTAGCTACCCGCATAAAGACTGAATTTCTCATGCAAATTGATAAAATCTGTAGGGCCAGCAAAATCAAGTTGATTTTTGGAGATGTCTTTGGATCATTCGGCTACTCTGTCAGCGATTTTCAAGAACATGAGTATTATGTGGATCAAATTAAAATTTTTCCAATAAAACGATCTCATAGTGGTATAAGCACAAAGCCAGTAAATGAAATTGTTAAAGTCAAAGATCAATTTATTTTTCCCGAGTTAAAAGAAGTACTTATCATGCCAAATACCAAGCAGAGTCTCGATCATATTAAACAAATCAGGAAAATGAATCCATATTATTATTTGATGCTGAGTAAGTAGGTACAGATTTGCTATGAAGAATCGTCAAAACTCACTAACTTTAATTTCAGTTCTATTGGAATTCCGCAACAGACAAGGTCGTAACCCTGAAATCTCTAACAAAATCAAAGACGTGGAGTTATTGAAAGTCATCAAAAAGGAGATTCTAAGTGATTTTGATGCAAATTGTGTCGAAAGTAAATTAGGTGATGATTTATTTGAACTGGTTTTTGCTGAAGTTGTACCAGTTTGTGCTATAGTAGGTGGAGTAATTGCTCAGGAAGTTATCAAGGCAGTGTCTGGAAAAGAAGTCCCTATTTATAATGTGTTTTTGTTTGATCCCTTAACTTTTACTGGTAAAGAACAACCTATTAAAACCACTAAGCAACATTAAATTGTTTAATTATGTAGGTTTTTTAAGTATACTTACTATTATTTCTTATATTTGTGATTTTTGATACATTATTTTTGTAAAATTAAAATGTGAATTTTGTGTAGTAGTATTGTTTTATTCACTACCCTGGCGCTATTATTTTTTTCAAGGAAATATTATATTTTTGGCAATGTAATTAGGTAAAACAAGAGGCCATTAGTCAATCAGTTAACAAGGAAACCGAGTTGCCAGCTGATGCAAACTTTTATGTATTCTATATGAGTTCTAATAATAGATCCAATGGTTATAATGAAAATGTCGGGTGGTATGTATATGAGTAAAGTGTGATATTTGTCTAAATTTACCATGTTGTAGTTATCTTCTAAATGTAGAAACAATTTAAATTGTGCGAAAGCAGAAATTCCCAATATGTCGGCAATAGTGTGTCTCTCCGGCGAAGAAAAATTCAGGTAAAGGCATAAACATTTTCCTATATTCACGGCCATTTCCTCGGAAACATAATTGTCTGTTTATATGTGGCCCCCAAAAAAAAGCAGAGGGGCGTCCATAACGTCACTAGGCGACGATTCAAAAATAAATCCTCGTGGACGCTGCGACGTCGGTTTCGACGCTTATCCAAACTTTTGCCTTTGAGGGGTCACTCAGTTGTTTTTTTCCGAAACTTTGGGACAGTATTGTTGTATAAATCGCGCGTAGAAATAATCTATCAGGCTTAATTTTGTTGAAAATTTTAAAAAAATTGAGTACAACAGGTACCTATTGAATTTTGGAAATTGTTTTTATTGTATAATGTGCGTTTTGTTCAACTAACTACTTAGTTTTTTCTTATTTTCTTTTAATTTGTTCAGTTAGCGTTTCCTATAGGCGTAACTGTCCTTACTTAAAAGTCCTATGTTGATTCTGAAAGTTCCTAATAAATTAACAGATATTTCTCAATTGAAGTTTTTCGGATACTTGAGTTTCTCAGTGATATAAATTTACCACATATAACCAAAAAACATCTCAGTCTGAATAATTATGATATTTCTAGAAACACAAAAATTTGGCAAAGTTTCATGAAAGTTCATTACCAGACAATTTTTTATTTTTACTCGCATTCAAAAACATTGAGTTTAAGAATTACATCATGGATTGATTTGGTATGCACTTCATATAATTTTTTTATTCAAAAACAGTTGCAGATCTCAATTTGCAATTTAGAAAGTTTGTAGTTAGGGAAAGGTTAACAATGTAAAATGAAATTAGCTTTCTGAAATTTTATCAGTTTTGTTTAGAATAACATTATTGGTCGAATTTAAGTAAAACGAAAAATAAGTAAAATTGAAGTTGGCCTTGATTGTTGCTAGATACAACATTACAAAGTATCCAATATACATCCTGGCATAAATATGATTTACCAAATATGTATGCCACATCTAACCAATAACGGTTAAATCTGTAATAAAATATATTTCATGACCCTCTCGTTTCTAATTTGGACCAAGTTCGTTAATATTTCTATGGTTTCAGCTCAACATCGCGCACGTTTCTGGCCGAATATCAACCCTCAAATAATACGTCACGGATAGCAATTTCAAGGGGGCCAAAAAGGTCCGCTTTTCCGCCATGTCGATTCCGTTTACTGATCTGGGACGTGACGACGACGACGGCGTCGGTTACGTCTCAGAAAGTCATTATCTGAAAAGTCCTACTGTTGCTGAGCAACAGGCCATGAGACTGCTCCAGGTACCAGGCAGAGATGGAAGAGAGGGAAGCATGTCTTCGAATGTTAGTGATTTGGACGTGCCGATATATTCTTCGGAGAATTTGACTACCAGGCCTCGGAGGGAAGTAGAATCGGTAAGAATTTTTTTTATTTTTTATTAAATCCTTTATTTAGCAAAAAAGCTAGTTATAAAAAAAATTCAATTTCAAATAAGCTTTATTGCCCAAAAATTTCACAATTTCATTGACAAAGCAAAAAGGAATATCTTATAATTAATACTTAAAATTAATACAATATCCAATAATTCAAACCGAACAAACACAAGACCAGAACAGTTTGACAGTCTAAAACACGTTACAACATTTACATTAACTGACATTATTTATAAAGTATGTATATAACACTATAGCTATCCCATTCAATCTTCATAAAATTCAGTAAGCATAATATGCCTTGGCGACCAGGTAGTTTTTTACAGACATACGGAAACTCTCATAGCAGTCCCTATCCTTAATGTCTTGAGGAAGATGGTTAAACATTTTCACACTTTCATAAATTATTGAGTTTTTTGTAAGGGAAAGCTTTGGTATTGGCAGCGGTAGGTAGTTTTGCCTTAAACTGTAGTTCCTGTCCTGTACAAAACCAGAAAACTTTCTATAAATCAGAGAAACCGACTCAAGAATAAAAATGCAGGGCACCGTTAATATTTCCTCCTGTACAAAAAGCGGTCGACAGGTTTCTCTACAGCCTTTCCTACAAAGATAACGTAGGGCCCTCTTTTGTAGCACAAATACAGACTGTATAGATTTTTGCGTAGAGTAACCCCAGAAAGCTATCCCGTATCTGATGTGTGATTCTAGTAGTGAATAATAAGCTGTTTTAGCTTCTTTTTTGCCAAGTTCCTGTACTACAGTCCTAACAATGTAACATCCGCTTGCCAATTTTTTATTTAAATGGTCAATATGGGAGTCAAATTTCAGTTGTGTGTCAATGTGCAACCCAAGAAACTTCACGGTTGTTCTATTTGCCAGGATTCCGCTTTCTAGTCTGATGTCAGTCAAAGAGCACTTGAAAGTGAGTATGTTTGTCTTTTGTACGTTAAAACATAATTTATTTGTATCACACCACCTCTTAATTTCGGAGAGATCGTTTTCGATGGTTGTCTGAAAATTGTCTAGAGTCCTTGAAGTCCACAGACCGGTAGCATCGTCTGCGAAAGCCGTGAATTCCCCCGAAATTGCAAGGGATAGTAGGTCGTTGACGTAGAGTAGGAAAAGAATGGGTCCCAACACAGACCCCTGCGGCACACCATGGATAATCTCAGCCGTATCAGAATCAACCCCATTCACTCAGACGAACTGGCATCTACCTGAGAGCATTGACCTGAACCAGTCCGAAGCTGTTCCACGGATGCCATAATGACTAAGTTTCTGCAGCAATATTTCATGATTAACGCAATCGAAAGCTTTCGAGAAATCACAAAACACTGCCGCAGCCACCTCTCGATCATTCAAGCTGAGGTATAGTTTTTCCAAAAATGAGAAGATGGCATCATTTGTCCCTCTAGAACTTTGAAAACCAAACTGATTCCGATCAAGAACATTATGCCTCTTCAAAAATCCACCAGTTGCTCTTTAACAATTTTCTCCATGATCTTCGAGAGAGTACTCAGTAGCGAAATAGGTCGATAATTCGATGGATCTGAACTGTCTCCCCCCCCCTTTAAAGATTGGGATTACTACTGCCGATTTCAGACAAGGAGGAAATATTCCAGCGCCCAGAGACAAATTAATACAAAGAGGACTGTCTGGCAAGTTTTTCATGATTTTTGTAGAAATACTATCGCTTCCTGAAGCATTCTGGTTTTTAATACTTTTACAAATTTCCCTGATTTTATGTTTGTTTGTTGTTTTGAAACTTTGTTGTTTTGAAAAAAATACTATACAATAATATTAATAAGTCACTAGTTGGTATGCAGTCAAATTTATAAAACATTAAAAAAGATAGCTTAAAATACCCCAAAAAAAATATAAAACAAAATAAAATACAGCAAAAACAAAATTAAAATACTTTCAAAATACCATAAAACACATCGTGCGGCACCAATGACCCTCAAGTTCCCAGCAAATAACCCCTTAACCGTCTTTTAAATATTGGCAAAGTTGCTGACTCTTGAGGCAACCCATTAAAACAGTCTAAACCATTGTGAGAAATGCTGTTCTGTCCAAACGATTTATTCCTTGCGGTCACGTAAAAATTATTCCTTTGCCTAGTATTGTATGCATGTATCTCACGATTGTAATATTGCCAAGATACCGCTATTTCTCATTTCACACAGGTACTATTGAGACACTTGGAGGCAGGTGATATGGGGCTTGGCATATTTTTGGACCTTTCAAAGGCATTCGATTGCCTAGACCAGTGGTTCCCAAACTTTTTTCTTCTGCGCTCCCTTTATGAAATCAAGAAGTAGTCGCGCCCCCCTTCCTTCCCCCATTATACCTCGCATTATACAAAAACATTTTTTTTACTTACTGTCTCGTCTGAACAGAGACGCTTTCGGGTGCTCTTAGAACACTTCACACCCGTCAGTGACTCGTCATACTCCACGCGTTAGCCGGAGTTCTTCGGAGTAACTCGGGAGCGCTCAACAGATGGCACCCGAAAGCAGTTCTGAACTTTGGAAGGGGAGGAATTGGCATGACAGTGGGCAGCGAGCGTGCGCTGTAGCAATTAGAGATGCCACGAATAGTGATTTGGCCGAATACCGAATATTCGGCAACGCTCTCGTTTGTAGCACCGAATATTCTGTGGGTTTTGTGCAGACCAGTCTCATTCTTATCGCGTCGCCCCCGGTAACAACGGAATTTGGTTCACTTGAGAATATATAGTGTCACAATACGCAATTTTACGCATTATTAGCTATATTCTTTTGATCGCACGTTATTACTTATACTACTGTTTATCAGTTTATCTTTAGCAAAAGTTATCAAAATAGCACCACTAATTAATGCAAAGAAATTAGATTCATTGTGACTTGTTATTAAATAGATACATTTTTGAGTATTATGTCATGTGCGTTTTTTTTTCATTATTCAGCTTTCGGTAGTCGGCCAAATATTCGGCCGGATACCGTATACAAAAAAAAATGGCCGAATAGGCCGAATACCGAATAGTAGCCGAATATTCGTGGCATCTCTAGTAGCAATTATCGCATGGCAAAGTTGCTTTGGCTTAGGTATGCGCTGTTGTCAGATTGTAGACATCTTTTTTAAATTTTAACTGATTTTTTTATTTTAAATCTTAAAATTTGTATTAATTTTCTAGAAGACTCACGCCCCCCTTAATGTTGCTTCACGCCCCCCCAGGGGGGCGCGCCCCCCAGTTTGGGAACCGCTGGCCTAGACAGAAGCATGCTTCTGCAAAAACTCTTTTTGTATGGAATAAGGGGACGCGCTTTCGAGTGGTTTCGATCATATCTGAGTCAAAGGTCTCAAAGGATTGTTATCCAGAAGGATGGTATACAGCACAAATCAGATATATCGCAAAATACAGTGGGGTACCTCAAGGCAGTATATTAAGTCCAGTTCTTTTCATTATTATTATTTTTATTTTATTTTTTTTTCGGTTTTGAGAGAAATTTTAAGGAGGATTATATTTGTTGGATCTAAGGGGAATTAAAGTAAAAATATTGTGAATATTTTTCTAATTTATTGTGAAATTCTAATATGAAAAACCTGAAGTTGGGCCATCTTAACGTTCGTTCCCTTGCGACTGGTTTCGACCATTTTCAGAATTTACTGCATAGTTCTAGTGTAGATGTTATGTGTGTTTCCGAAACTTGGTTAACGGAAAATGTTTCCTCTGACCAGTTTCTTATCCTGATTTTAATTTTGTATGTAAAAATCGCACAGGTAGAGGGGGTGGTGTCGGTGTTTTCATTCAAAATTCTTTTGATTACATTACAGAACAGTTTGAACCGATTGACGGCCTTGAAAACCTATTTCTTAACTTAAAAATAAAGAACGAGAGTATTCTTTTGGGGGTCGTGTACAAGCCACCTAAAACCAATCTGGCAAGCTGTATAAAACACTTTGACGATTTGCTTTCTTATTTCTATCCTCGGTTTGATAAAATTTTAATTTTAGGAGATGTGAACATATCTCATTTTCAGAATAATTTGCTTCTTGAATGTTTCACCAGCTATGATTTTACCCAGTTGGTGACCGAGTCAACACGTATTTCTGATACAAGTGAGAAAATTATTGATGTTATCTATTTTAATCAACCTTCTACTGTCACAAATTGCTCTGTCCTAAACGCAAACCTAATATCGGACCACAAAGCAACTTTTTGTGAAATAAATATTGGCATTTCTAAGCCTCTACGAAGAACAGTTATTTATAGAAACTTTAAGCAATTAATTATGGAGGACCTTGAGTTCGACATAAGATCTATTAATTGGGATAGTGTTTACTACATAAATAATATAGACCAAAAACTGCAATTCTTAAACCAAAACATTTTGAATTTATTTGATAAGCATGCCCCTTTCAAGCATGCTAAAATTTCAAAACAGTTTGCACCTTGGATTACACCTAATATTAAATTACTAATGAAAGAACGGGATAAGGCCCTAAGCAAATTCAAGAAAACTAAAGACATTGGTCATTGGTCGTTTTACAAACAAATGCGTAATACCGTGGTGGATGCTATTCGTAGAGAGAAAAAGGCTTATTTAGAATTTAACCAACGTAGCAAGGATAATAAACAACTTTGGAAAGCCATAAATAACTTAAACTTAAAAAATAAAACTAACTATACTATTCCTCCAAAATTAGGAGAACCAAATTCAATAAATGACTATTTTTCATCGGTGTATAGCCCATTACAAAACCAACCGGAAACTGTAAGTTTCTATAAAGGAACAAAATTTCGAGAAAACCTGAATTTTTCTTTTAGATTAGCAACCACGGGAGAAATTTTCAAAATAATTTGTGAGCTCAAATCAAACGCTTGTGGCTGTGATGGTATCTCTGCCCAAATGATCCGGTATTGTGCAAATTTTATTTTAAATCATATAACTCACATCTTAAACTGTTGCTTAGAGATTGGTTACTTTCCAGAAATTTGG